GCCAGACCCCCTAGTTAATGTTCTAATATACAGAGATACTGAATACCTCTCTCTCATAACCTTTATCACAGTTTGTAATTGTATATTTGTAATCATTTGATTGATGTTTATTTTCCCTATTAGAGTATAAAGAAGACCGGGGCTGATCCGTCTTGTTAACTCTTCTCTCTACAGTGCCCTGGTGTGCAGTGGGTGCTCAGATACCTGCTGAATAAATAAGTGAACCTTCTGGAAGACATTTCGGTTTCCATCTTTGCTGCCTGTGAAACTACATTCTGATTCTCCTCCCATATTATGGCTCAGAAAATGTCATAGTGTTTTTCTGTACCGGCAGAAAGCGTCTATTTTATCCATGGCTATATTCCACACGCTTCACACAGAGTTAAGAAGATAGCAGATACTCAGTAAATGAGATGAAGCCTCTCTCTAAGTGCTGGGGAAGGAAGGTTACGAATTGCACAAATACTGGCTCAGGTCTTGCTATATCTTCTTCCTTTTCACCTCCCCCCAACATATCACTTCTTTCCATCTTAATCGTACTGGATGAAGGCATTTGAAAGGTAAACAGGGCACTCCCAACCGGACAAACTCATGCTCCTCTCTCAAATGTCAACTCAAATGTCACCTTTGTCTTCCCTCCGTCCTTCCGCCCTGCAGAGCTTTTATCTCCCTGATTGGGCGGTCTGGTACTTATCTGTCTCCTCAGCAGAACCACAGACTTCTTGAGAGCAAGAGCTTTGTCACAGCCATGTTTCTGCAGAAATGGAATTGAACGTGCCACACCTAGACGTACGCCCCGAATAAAGGAACTGATCCATGAGGTGTGCTGGTCAGGCCACAAGCGAGAGCATCCAGACCCCTTCGGACTCCAGGGCATCCCTTCCAGCTCAGGCTCCTCAGGTACCCAGGTGATGCCAGGAGACCCGGCTCTTCAGCTCGGACCCTGTGAGGCTCCAGGTGGACCTTCCTTCTTCTAGTAGTGGACATAGATGGGCACCAAGGGACTGTCCTGATGTGTAGCTGTGGCCCTCCCACATCCAGTGGCTTCATGTAGAACACCCTCCACATACCTCCAAACTCTTCCCTAGATCTACTTCTTTTTAACAGCTTTACTGAACTACAATGCAGACATTGAAAGTGTACAGTTAAGTGGTTTTTAGTATACTCACAGAGTTGTGCAACCATCACCACAATTTTAGAATATTTTCATCACCTCAAAAAGAACGCCCCTACCCATTAGCAGTCACTCCCCATTACTCCCAACCCCCACCCCCACCAAGCAACTGCTCATCCACTTTCTGTCTCTATAACTTTGCCTATTCTGGACATTTCATATATGTGGAATCATATACTATGTGGCCTTTTGTGTCTGGCTCCTTTCATTTAGCGTAATGTTTTCAAGGTTCGTCCATGTTGTAGCATGTATCAGGACTTCATTTCTTTTAATGCTGAATAACATTCCAGTGTGTGGCTACGCCACATTTTACTTATCCATTCATTGGTCAATGGGTTGTTTCTACTTTTTCGCTATTATGAATAATGCTACTGTGAACCTTCATGTACACATTTTTGTGTGGACCTATGTTTTCATTTCTCTTGAGTATATACCTATGAGTAGAATGATAACTGCCAGACTGTGTGCCAAAGTGGCTGTACCATTTCACATTCCCACCGGCAGTGTAGGCGGACTCTGATTTCATCCTATCCTCCACCTCCTTGCTGCTTGTTGCTATGTGCTTTTTATTGCTGCCATCCTATTGGGTGTGAAGTGGTATCTCACTGTGGCCTTGATTTCCCTGGGTCTATTAACAAGCAATAACTCTGCAGTCTTCTGGGGATATGAGCCAGTCAGGCCTGGGTGGGCCCCACTTCTGCTGCTGACAGCTGTGTGACTTTAGTAGCTCAACCTTTCTGCCGGTTTCCTCATTTGTCAAACACGTTACATCACTGGATTCTTAAAAATATTTAATGACACATGGTATCATTTAATGGTATATAGTATGTAATTCCTAGCACATTATCAAGAACAATAGTAGGGCTCAAAAAATATAGCTATTAACAACAAAAATCCCCAGTCCCTGAAGGCCAACAAATGTGACTGTATGTCTAGTCTAAAAAGGAAGACCAGGGCCGGCCAAGAGGCTCAGTTGGTTAAGAGCTCATTCAAGAGTGCGAGCTCTGAGCAACCGCGGTTCGATTCCCAGCCTGAGCTGAGCTGCCGCTAAGCTGCCAACGGATGGCTCAGGTAAAAAAAATAATAATAATAATAAATAAAATAAAAAGGAAGACCAAAGAAACTAAACCATCATGGCCACAAGATTATAAAGATTCACTGAAATGATATGTCAAATACAAACATTCACTTAGAAACTCACTTTCTTCCTGTTTTCTCACCTTATTCTCTGGTAGTGGTGGACCCAGGAAATGGCCCAAAGCAAAGAAAGGAAGCTATTCTCCGAAGCAATAGCCTTTTCAATGATTTCTTAAGGTAATATGTTCATAGGTTCATTGATCAGACCATGATGAAAACACTTGATAGGAAGTCTAGGACAGAAGGGTCAGCCTATTCAGGATGCACATTGCATGTTGCGAGTGGCGCGTTGGTTAGGAACTGGCTTGGGATGCCAGAGGGCCCCAGTTCGGATACCACACATGAGGGCCAGTGACACTGCCCTCTACAACTAAGATGCTGAACAACAGCTCAACCTGGAGCTGGGCTGTCGTGGGTCACCGGCGACAGCGTAGGCTGCAGTCCCCTGCTACAGTGGGTTGCCATGGGCTACCGTGTGTAGCCAGCAGCCAGTGTGAGCGGCCAGGAGCCGCCGTGAGCGGCCGTCCAGAGCCCGGAGACTGATCTGCCTCACCCAGGAAGAGCGCAATGATGGTGCCAACTTGGGCCAGTGAAGCAACATCCTCCACAACTAGACTGAAGAACAAAAGGACAGCAACTTGTCTGTTCCCCCTCCCCCAACTCCCCAATAAAATCTTAAAAAAAAAAAAAAGAGAGGCCCATAGAGTACCCAAAGGTGGCACCATTTTAGCTGCTTCTTGCCCTTCCCCAATGTGTAAACATGGCTATCCATTTTCCAGCAGAGAAAACAAGTAAACATCGAACGCCTAAGCAGGTGCCCCAGAAAAGAGGAGAATGGGGAGGGGTTAGATAAGAGGCCCAAGTAGACAGTCCTAAACAGTCTCTCTGTTGCAACATAACCACTCTGCAAGGGCAACTTCACTCCCAGGGGATCTGCTCAAACCAGCCTGCCACCACAGAGGGTTCCCTAGGGAAGGAAGAAGGTGTAAGAATACCCTGGGCATGGTCGTGCAGGGGTGCACAGAGAAGCAACTCTCTAAGTCTTTGTTCTCTTCTTTGGAACAATAGGCCCCATCAATGTCACCTGCAACCTGTTACAAGGACCACAGGTGAGAGGTTAATTAAGGAGCTTAAAATGAAATGGTGGTTTCTCTTCTCCAGTCTTTGTCCACCAAACTCATAGACCAACATGGAATGCCTTCTCATCCCCATTACCTTTGTCCATCAAACTCATGGACCAAGATGGAGGCCTCTGATCCTGATGTCTGTTCACCAAACTCATCATTTGACTCATGTATGTCTTCCAATGCTCAGGTAAGGCCTGTCTCACCCCACCCATCTTTTAAGGATGGGGGGTAAGCTGATCCCCTGTTTGGATGATCAGATCTCTTAGCCTGAACCAAAAAAATGCCTCTCTTTACCATCTGCTGAAACCAACACTGCTCAGTACAATTTTTTGTTGTTGTTGTTAGTAGTAGCTAACATGCCTCTACTTCCTAATTTTTGGTCCATCGAGACACCCTTCTTAGAGAAAAGGGAACTCAGTTCCCTTCCCTTCAGATCTGGCCCAAGCAGGAAACCAGAGGCCCCTCTACAACACCAGAATAACAGTGCTATGAATGTGGGGGCAGCTCTCACCCAGTGTCCTGGCCCCTGGGGCTGGTCCATCTTAGCAGGCCCCAGCTTCTGGGGCTGTGACCTTGCTCCTATCCCCACATTCCTTTCTCCATACAACTCTTCAAAACGACCCCCACACACACACACACACACATTCTTGCTGCAAACATTACATACAATGAACGGAGAGTCACCAACAGTCCGACCCACTTTAAAAACACATCGAACTAACGGGAAAGGTGTTTAAGATTAAAACTTTTAAAGAAGAAAAAAAAAAGTGTTAGGGAGAAGAGTGGAGAACATAACAGGCCGGGCACCATCTGTCCTGGTGGAAGACCCCAGCGCTGCGTTGGTCACACTCAGAGCCCAGACCTTCATCCCGCCTGGCTCCACAGGTGACCCCCATTCAGGCGACCCCGCCTCCCCCAAATAAGTACGGGCTCCTCAAAACACGCCTCCCCCATTGATCACCCGGGCCCTCCCCTGGAACTGGAGAGGGCAGGGGACCAGGACAGAGGCCTTAGGGCCCCAATTCTTTTCCCCATCTCGGAACGTGAGACTTGCGGACCCTCTCCCTGGGGCGAACGCGCGCCCAAAGCAGGGCAGCTCGGCCCGCTGGGCTGGGAGGACGGAGGCGGCCTCGGGGCGGGCGAGGAGGTCGGGTTTCGCTGCCTCGGCGCCGCCGCCCGGGCCCCTCTTCCGCCCCCGGCTCGGGTTCGAAGCGGCGCGGCCCAGAGAAGAGGAAGGAAGACGACCAGGAACTTGTGCCCGCGGTGCCTATCGGGGGGCGGGTGAGGCCCCGCGGAGGGGTGGCTGGGCGCGCTTGCGACCCTGGAGATGGGGTCACCGGAGCCACGGCCGGGGGTGGGGCCGCGGGGCGGGGCGGGGGCTGCGCGCCCAACTTTCCGGGAGGAAGCCTTCCTACAGCTCGACTTCAGCGGCGCCGTCCCCGCCCGCCCGCCCGGGGCTCGATGCTCCGGCGGGTCCCGTCCCGCTCCAGCCGCCTGCAGAGTCCCCTCCCGGGGAGCCCCTTCCCCCTGGGTCCCGGCCCCGCTCCCCGGGCCTCTCTTACCATCTGCGCCACTTTCAGCAGGGCCCCTTGGGTGCGCGGGTAGACGGGGTCCAGCGGCCCCTCGGAGGGGCTGGCGCCCCGGTGCCCCGCGCCAGCCCCGGGTCCGGGCGCGCTGCTGCTGGTGCACGTGGTGCGGACGAGCCCGGCTCCGTGCGACATCGCGCGGCCCCTGCCCGCCGGCCGCCTCCCGCGGCCGCGGCCGAGGGGCCAGATAAGGCGGGGCGGGGGCGGGGCGGGGCGGGGGCGGGCCCGGGCGTGCGGTCGGCCGGCCGGCGGCGGGGAGGGCGGGGCGCACGCGGGCGCCGCCGGCGCGGGAGGAGCCCGTCCTGCTGTGGCCGGACCCACCCTGGGAGGGGCTGGCCCCGCGCTCTCCCGAAAGGCGGCGCCCTCAGAGGTGCGCGCAAGCTGGACGCGAGGGAGGCGGAAAACGGACGCCGTGGGCCGCTGTGAACCTCCTGGGATGATGCGTGGGTGTGGCTGTGTGCAAAGAGCATCTTTATTGAGCTATAACTTACATACACTGAAATGCCCAAACCTTCCGTGTTCAGCTCCGTTAACTTTTCTGTGCCTACACCTGTGTAACCACCACTCAGGTCAACAAATAGAACATGCCAATGCCCCCAAAAAGTTCCCTCGTGTTTCTTCTCAGTCTTCCTTCCCTCACTGCACCCCTTTCCCTTACGCCTCAGGTAACCGTGATGTTCTGCTTTTTTCACTATAGGTTAGTTTTGCCTGTTCTTGGACTTGACATACTTGAAATAATACAGAATAATCTATTTAATTTGTGTCTGGCTTCTCTCACCCAACACATTGCATTTGCGACTCATCCTGTTGTACCAAATAAAGCCGTGATGAGCAATCCTGGTAAGATTTTTTTGGTGGATGTAAACTCATTTCTTTGGGTTAATACCTATGAATGGACTTGCTGGGTCACAAGGTGAGCATATGTTGACTTCAATTAGAAGCTGTCAAACAGTTACTCAAGTGACGTACTATGTTCCACTCCTTCTGGGTTTTTTTTTTTTTTTTTAATGAAGACAGGCCAAACAGGGCTACCACAATGAGTTATATTATCAGTGTTCCTTTTGAGCAGAGTGTCCCTGTGGCCAAACTTGTAACTTCATTTGGAGATAACCAAAAAAAAAAAATCCAAACAGGCCAATGCTGGCCTGTCATCAGAAGATGGTCTTCACTGCAGCGGTTTTGATTATTCTATGATGTGGAAATACTCATGCAATCTCTGTTTTGACACATCTCCTAGGCAATTCTTGTGAACAGTCAAATTTGACAGTCATTACCGAAGTTGAGATATTACACTATTTTCTCTATATTTGTGTACATCTGTTAATTTTCATGAATCCCCCCCCCCAAAAAAAAAATTGCCTCCAATATCTGACTTCTCCTTAAACAGCAGTCACAGTGCCTGGTGCCTCCATTTCTTTCACTGTAAAACAACAGTAATTGCACCTAGGGGCTGCTGTGACAGTGCAATAAGACAGGCGGGAGTTCTGTACCATTTCCAGCTCTGTGCCCCAGGCATGAAGTTGGCATTGCAGATCATTTTTCATGTAGATGTACATTTTCACTCCTGTCCTTGTCCCAGGCTTCAAAACCCACATGCGCATGACAGGGAGTCTGTTGAAGTAAAGGCTTCAGGGAAGCAGAAAAACCGAACACTGGATAATTTCTCCTCCTCCCAGGGGAGACTTCATCCAATTCTCCAGTAATCTAAATCGGTGATTTTCAGCATGTGCTCCTCAGACCAGAAGCACCCAGAACTCATGGGAAATGCAAATTCTTGGGCCCCACCCGGACCTGCTGAATCAGAAACTCTGGGGGTGAGGCTCAGCAATCTGCATTTTGACAAGCTGTTCCCCCCGCCTCCCACATGATTCAGATGCATGCTGGAGTTTGAGAACCACTGTCATTTCCTGAGCCCACTAGAATTGAGACTTTGCTGGGTTTCTCTGACTGCTGTTGGTCATTGTGCCATCAGTGCAGATAGGAAATAATCACAAGTGGTGGCCACTCTGTTTTAATCATTTTATCATGATCATGTAAGAGCTTAAGCAAGATGCTTGGGAGTACAAGGGCCGTATGCTGGCCTGGTGTTCAAGCAAAGGCTCTACCAATCATACGTGATGCCAGGTACACTGAGATGTCTACACTGATGTGATGCTTTCTTGGTGTGAAGGGCTTGCCCCTTAGGGGAGCAAGAGCTTGGGCAAAGGACTCCATAGCCCCCCTTAAAGATTTCCTACTCTAAGATGGAACAAGCCACGTGGGTGGTCTCTGAGTAGCTGGTGAGAATTCAAGAATTTTCAAGTTCTTCCCTGTCCATCTACCCTGGAGGGGTACAGGTTCCAAGGCTTCAATTAGAGTGTCACTGTCTGACCACAACTCATTTACACTAATGTGATTATGATGATATATCTGGTCAGATACAATTTAAAAAATTAATAATAAACTGAGAGTTGATTCTGTGTTAGCCACAGTGCTTTTGGCTGCAAGTGACAGAAACTAAACTCAAGCAAAAATAATTCACTGGCTTATATAACTATGGCATGCAGATGTGAAACCTATTTCAGACATGGTTGGATCCAGGTGCTCAAATCAGGCAGCCAGGACCTCTGTCTCTTGGCTACACACTCCTCTGTGTTTGCATTACTGTCAGGCAGGCCCTCTCATGACTTATGGCAGCATTGGCTTATATTTTCCCCCAGCTAGTAACCCCACCTCTTTATAAAGGCACCTTTTCCCCCAATGGTTCAGGCACAGCATTAATCTGCTTAAGATGCTATAACAAAAGACCACAGACTGGGTGGTTTAAACAACAGACTTTATTTTCTCATTGTTCTGGAGGCTAGAAGTCCAAGGTCAAGGTGTCATCAGGAATGGTTTCTGGTGAGGCCTCTCTTCCTGGTTTGTAGACAGCCACCTTCTCACTGTGTCCTCACATGGTCCATCCTCTGTAAGTGGAGAGAGATATCTGGTGTCCCTTACAAGGACACAAGTCCTATTGGATTAGAGCCCCACCTTTATAATCTCATTTAATCTTATCTCCCTAAAAGCCCTATCTCCAAATATCATCCCATCAGGGGTTAGGGTTTCAACATATGAATTTGGGGGGGTGGTACATAATTCAGTCCGTAACAGACCCTTTTTGGTCCAGATAGGGGTCATGGCTCCATCTTTCACCAATCTCTATATCCAGAGTGGTGGAACACTTACTGGACAGGCCAAATTCCACCTGCACATGGAGCTGGGGCAGGTAGTTCTCTAGAACCACAGAAACTGAGTCAGGGAGGGGTGATTCCCCAAAGAAAAACCAGGGTGCAGGTCCCAGAAAGGGAAATGAATGTTTGGCAGTGTTATAGACTGAATGTGTCCCCCCCCAAATTTATATGTTGAGGCCCTACCCTTCAATGTGATGGTATTTGGAGATGGGGCCTTTGGGAGGTAATTAGGGTTAAAGTCACGAGGGTGGAGCCCCCATAATGGCATTAGTGTCCGCATAAGAGACACCAGATGTCTATCTACCTCTGCCCTGCTCTCTGCCACGTGAGGATACAGCAAGAGGGCAGTTATCTGCAAGCCAGGAAGAGACTTCTCACTACAAACTTATCTGGCTGGCACCTTGACCGTGGGCTACCCAAGCTTCAGGAGTATGAAAAAATAAATTTCTGTCATTTAAGACACCCAGGGTATGATATTTTGTTTGTTTTGGCAGCCCAAGCTAAGACAGGAAGGCGAAAGCACCAGATCTCCATGAAGACTCTTCCAGTACCTGTGTTGTACATCTTTTTTCCAGTGAATTTTTAAAAGTATATTAAGCTCTGAGAACCAGCTATACTCCCAGACTCTTCTGAGAAACATCGGCCAGGTGTCCCCACCTCATGGCTACATCCAATTAGACCAGTATGGCCTGTGAGCCAGGAGCAGCCCATCAGTTGGCCAGTGGCGTTTGGAGCCACCTGACTTGAGAGCTTTGCCCAAAAGGAGCCCATCAGATCCTCCCTCTTGAGTCTGACTGGGAGGCACTGGGAAGGGTTAGCAGTTGTACGTAGAGGCAGCAGAAGCCAAAGGGCACCCAGAGAGAAGGCGGAGGCTGTGAGGCCAGATGAGCCATGAGAGTGACTGCGGGGTGAGCAGAACAGAGTGAGGTCCTGCAGATAGAGAGCAGGACCTCTCTGAGGGACAAGGAAACGGGTCCTTGGCACCGGGCGAGACCCTGAAACATTTGTCTCTGCTGCTTTGCTGTGTGGCTGAGGGGCAGGGCTCTGGCACCAAACTGCCTGGTTGGCTCCTGGTTCCATCATCACCTGCCTGACATGTGTCCTTGGTCAAGTTACCAGTCCTCGCCGAGCTTCCGTTTCCTCATCTGTAAAGAGGAGCAACAATAGAACTGACCTTTAGGGCAACTATGAGACATGAATGGGATACTGTGCCTCAGTGTTTGGCACATGGTAATAAATGTTACTTTTTAAAAAGTCATTATTCCTTATGTCTTATGTATTTGAATGAGAAGTCTTCACTACCTGGAGGCTGAGGGACCCTCAGTGGGTCGCTGTTTCCATAACCACAGGCATCAGAGACCATCTCTAAGGGTGAAATAAAAGACTTTGGATGTGCAATAGGATTTTAGGCAATCTGAGTAAGTAAAAGAGCTTCACCCTCTGGTGGACTGTCATTTAGGGGACTGATACTGTCTGATGTATGATTGGTAAGGAGAGAAGGTCCCGTGTTGAGAGCATGGTCACATTTGATGGATCAGGCAGTGAAGCCTGGCCTTAGACACTTTTCTCGCATTTTTTTATTATTTCCTGTGTTTGCCACATCTCCTCCAACAGGCTATAGGCTCCCTGTAGACAATGTGCTTCGTGAATGCTCTCAGTGGCTGTAGCTTGCTGATGAGTTGCTTACCTTTGGGGCTGTACATCTACAAGGGTGGGACAAGGGGAGGGTACCCGAATTTCTTAAGCAGTGGGACAGGGGTCTGCGTAAAGGTCCTGGTTTTGTTTGCTTGAGCTTTTGAATAAGGAGATGAGACTTTGGCTGCCAGACTGCCCACCAATGAGGCTGTCTGGACCTCACTGTTCCTATTTGTGAAATGGGCTGATACCACCAGTCTTTGAAGTTCACACAGAAATATATTTGAAAATCTTAAATGTAGTAAAGCAGCATACAAATGTAAGGAATAGTTTTTGTGCTAATGTTTTCTACCAGAAACAGTTTTCCTTCTA